GGCAGAACCTTGACTTGCAGCACCTTCTTATCATGCTTATTTTCTGTTGTATTTCATTTCAATCACGTCATTGTAAAAGTTCTTGCTCCTCTACCTGTGTGGTAACTTCATTCTCTATCAGTACTTTAAATGCTATGTCAACAGCAAACCAAAGCCTAGTATTTTTTTTTTTTACCAAGGTAGAAAAATGGAAATTCTAAATCAAGTAGACCCTTGAGGAACACCACTGCTAGTAATGTTTTCTCCTTCCCAATAATTTGCCATGGCATGGGATACTCATGTGCTACCATTAACCAGGAAATTTCATCAAAGAAAGATAAGCCAGTATAACATGATTTACATTTGGAAAGATCTGGGTTGTGTTTTTATTCTGCTTTCTATTTATATTCCAGTCATTGGTTACTATTGGTTGCTCTTTCCCCTTGGAACAGTTGTTCTAAGGTACTGAAGAGTGCTGAGTTCACACTAACAAGGCTTTTTTGAACACAGGTTCTACATTTCTTCTCCAACCCTAGGCTGCTATCCCAGAAAATGTCTTATTCATTGAGAATCCTTGTGCCTGAGCTTGCAATTTTGATATATAACCCATTTTTTCAGTATTCTGGGATGGAAATTTTTTAAGCAGCCTCATTTCATTTTAGTAATGTATGTGGTAATTTTCAGTACTTTGTCCTTGTTCCCATGAGGTATTCTGTCTCTGTCCTCATACACAGCATTATTCTTACAGGAAAAAATGATGCAGAAAGCTAATTTAATATTTGGTCTGTCCTCCTAACTTCTATTCCTTGTTGATACTAGTTCTTCATTTCTTGCTCTTTATTTCTTGTTGAGAAACCTTTCGTTTGTCTGTGAGTTCCCATTTTTCTGGCCTCCTGGCAGTTTTAATTTGACTTCTGTGGCCTGACCTCTAAGTGCCAGCTCTCATTGCTCATCAGACCCTTTTTCCATTCCTTGTAGGTTCTCTGCTTTCTCTTAATATCCTGCTTTGAGGTGCTTTCTCATGCAGGTAGGTCTATAGCCCCTTCCTGTCCCCTTTTTTCCTTTACTTGAATAGAAAGAGTGTTTGATTTGAAGTAAATCTATGACTTCCATACACTCAAATCCAATTTTATATGTGTTTCATATCTCTTTGGATGAAATTGTGGGTTATGGTCCAACAGGGAAAGGTGGGATTGCTCTTGAAATGTAAAGAAAACTCTTAGTTATTTTTGAGTTATGCAGCTGGTGTGAGGCCTGTATCCCCAGAAGGTTAAGGAAGTTTGAACTGCCTTTGGCAATTATTGTTTGTATAGGCTGCTTACTTCCAGATGTGTTTTTTTCTTCATGTAAAACTATGGGAATTAATTTTAAAAGCTGACATTTAAACCACCTGAATCAGAAATATTTTTTTTTTCTTTTTTTCCTCGTGCTAGGTATGTTTCTACAAATACAGTGTTTTGTAGAAAGACGATAATTTTGGAAAATTCCTGAAATTCTTTCAAGGTTTCACTCTCTTTTTAAAAAAAAATCTATGCTGATGTTTCTTTTCTCTTTGTGTTGGGACACAAACATATTTAGCAGTTTTTCTTTTGAAAACACACAAAAGTGTTCACTGTCTCTTTCTCCAAGTGGTTGGGAAGGTTATTACCATGAATGTTAAGGCTGCCTTTTGGAGCCCCAGTAATCACTTCTGAATCTTCCTGTTATCAAGGATGAAAAAGATGATTTAATTTCTCAAACACTGGCTATTTTAGAATACAGTCTGAAGTATTTATGTGTACATCAGTGTCGCTGAAAACCACCTTCAGAAGGCTATAGGCAGGGCTATAAGCCTGCGTTTAAGTTTCTGTGAGGTAAGGTAGTATGTGGATTTACAGTCTGTCAGCTGCTTTGTGTGTACTACACTGTGAACACATTTGTACCAGATGACCAAGCCACAGAATTGCCCAGCTATATGTGAAGGCAGTAATCTGTGCAGATGGACACGGCTGAAACACTGGGGTCCAAAGAATCAGATGGGAACTTCATGTGTGAACTCAGGTCTGAGTTAGAGGTTTAGCAAAGCTACTGAGGACTTTTGTTCTGGGTTCTGATGTCAAAACTGGGCTCAGTGCTCTCCCATGTTGATTTTTGATAGTACTAATCCTAGAGTCAATATAAATTTTAAATTATACATTTATGAATTTCATTTAAATGTAATGGGAATTCCTCAGTGTAGGATAATGGTGATGTATAATGCTTGTCTCTTTCTTACCCTTGGGTGTGGGGGGCAATCCCTGAATAAAAGTCCCTTCTCATTTTATTTGGGAATAGCTTTTATTTTTTTTTTCTTGGGTCTGCCTGAAATTTCCAAAGTCCACCTCTCGTATGTGTCTCAGTGCTTGATGAGGTGCTAGCAAAAGAGAGATCTGTAAGTCTTTCACTGTGTGTGTTAGCCAAGGCATCCTTCAGGATTTATGCTGCAACATTTTTAAAGCACAGATAATAGTATTTAGTAACTAAAAGCTTGAAAAATGTATTAATGGACTGTTTATATTTTGTGTTATTCCTCTTTATTGTTTTCCTTTGCTTTAATGAGACTGAAACCAATTTAGTGTATTAGTAAATGTCTGACCATGTTCTTCAAAATGATCTTTCAGTGCTATGGTGGGGAGTCTGGGGGTTATATCTTTAATCTGATGGCACTTGACGTTGTTTGGTTTACTGAACTTCATGGGTCGGTGGGTGTTTCTGTAACATATGGCACTGTATGTTGAAAGTGGGTGTTTACATCTGGTATGCATTGCAAGATTTAAGGTAGAGAGGATGAAGTTTTGGGCAAGTATGTGTTTTTTGGATGAAGGATAAAGTGAGAATACTTTTATTTCCTCTTAGATTTGAAACATATCATTCTAGCAATGCCTTTGAAACTCTGCCAGCTTTGCCAACCGTAACATTTATGGGATTTTGGACCTAAACTGAATTAGAAAACTGTTTTTAGTGGCAGAGAAAAAGGTTAGTGCATGAAAATAGCTAGGCCTATTATTGACTGCATGTGGTCAGTGGTTTGGCTGAATGTAGGTGGCTTTTTTCCTGTCACTGTTTTCAAGCATATGGCTTTGTTTGTCATGAATATAAAACGCTTTAAAAATGAGTTCTACTGCAGTTCTTTTGCACAATAGTTTTTTGCTATTTAGTAGTGATTACTTTGCTGTTGCCATTCATTTTCAATCTTGTAGTAAAAAAAAAAACAACCAACCACTTCTTAAATAAAGCTGGTGATTCCTGTTGACATCAAAACTAAGAGGTTTGAAGAATGTGGTCATCGGTGTATAGCAGCTGCTTCTGTCAGTACTATCTTGGATTCATATACTGTGTTGTTGATTCTTTATTATAGTTAATGCTGGGATTGTTTGCAGTGGGCAGAAACTCCTTTTAAATGTGCACACACATTTTGTTTAATTAGTAGTTTTGTGGAAATCTCTATTACTGAATTGTAACTCCTTTTTCCTTTTCATGTTTTCAGTCTTGAAAGTAACATTTATAGCAGTTTTTCCCTAGGTCACCTTGAGATTTGCCATTTCTTTTTCTGATTTTGAAGAAGGCACCTTGAAATTAACTTAGTACTTAGTTTTCTTCTTTGGGTGTAGTATACAAGGGGCTACCTAAGAGCTCCGGGAATAGTGAATTTTCTAGCTTCTGCTACAGAGAGAGCTTAAGGGCACAACAGGTTCTGTTCAGCTTTAACTTAAACAGTGTTACCCTATTTATATCTTTTTTAAAAAATCTGGGTGATAGTGTGCAGATTGTGGATTGTGTAGATTGTCTGGTGTTTTCAGTGTAGAAAATTCGAGTGAATCTTGTTTTAGCAGCTATCAGATGCAAGAGCTGGTTTCATTCAGCCAAGAGCAAAGTACATTTGGTTCTGCAAGATGCTGAGAACTGCAGTAAGAATTAGGGGCACCAAGTACTTCGAGTTGGTTTTACTGCTGTAAAGTATTTAAAAACAAAGCAAAACTGTTTAGAGTTTCCCCATGTTTGGAGAAAATAACTTATAGAATTATCCAATTTTTAGAGTATCTAACTAAATAAACAATGAGATAACCTGTAGAGCTGCTTAATATGTTCGTCAGTCAGTCCTTAGAGAAGTGCATCCTGGTCCCACAGGCCAGACACAAGGAAAATCACTCTGATGCACAAGTAAGGCTCCTTATGTGATCACGTCCTGCAGACTTCCAAGAACTTCATTTGTTACCTACATAAAAAAATTACACAATGCTATTTAAAACATAAAATGGACTTTAAAAATTCCTAAAATGTGAAAAAAAAAAACCCCAAAACTCTAGAAGCTGCAATTATTGCAACTATAGGTTAGAACTTACTGTAATATCTTCCTACAATGTAACATAACAATATAATTTACAGGTTAAGAGACTACTTTTCTAATTTAAACTAGAATTGTATTATGAAGACAGAGCTGTTGTAACTAAGCATGCTTGATGAAAGATTCACTAAGCAAGAAGTGCTTTGCATGTATCTGTAAGTCTCACTGCAAGAGAATCTTAAGGTGGATATAAGCATTGCATCCTCAAATGTTTAACAAAAATAAAAAATTAATTTTAATTTGAATGAGTGTGGTGTCATGCAGAAAGAACACCCTCAATAACAGCAAGCTCTTTAATGTATTATGGTTTGGGGTTTATATCTTTTTTCTAGTTCTGATTTAGGACCAGGAAAGTGCTTGATATTTTTGACAGTAGTAATTGTCGCAATTCAGGAATGCTTTATCTTGAGAGATCTCCTATTTAAACTTACTGCCTAACTGATAACTGTTCCTCATCAAAAAGATTTTAAATAGGAAGATGATGGCGATTATTAGTATCAGTTCTGAACACTGATTGATAGAACAGTATCTTAAGATGATAACAGCACAGCTAACTGACCTTTGCTTTTGATTTATGTGAGGAGGGTTTTTTTTTTGTGGTCTTGTTTGTTAATAAAGTTACATTAATAAATCTCAATGACTCCTCTTTGGATTGTAGAGGTTGGAGACCTGAGGGAGCTGCAAACACTGGACATTTCAACCAATCGTTTGATAACGTTACCTGAAAGGCTGCATATGTGCCTTTCGCTGCAGTACTTGACTGCAGACCGAAACCACCTGTGGTATGTTCCCCGCCACCTGTGCCAGCTACCAAGCCTCAATGAGCTCTCCATGGCTGGAAACCGCCTCGCATTTTTGCCACTTGGTGAGTCACCACTGTCATTGGGCTAGGGGGTGGGTCAGAGAAGAGACAGCAAAACAAACTTTCTGTCTTGGAAATAAAAAAGCAAAAGGCACCAAGTGATTTTCTTTGGTGGTCCCTATGAACTCTGTTAATGGAGTTGTCACAGTGATCATATTCTTGAAAATATGTTACTAAAAAAAAAAAAAGGCAGGTTGAAGTTTCATGTCTGTTTTAAAGCAATAGGTCAGCTATCAGATTTGCTTTATTTTTAGCTAACTGAGGGGGAAAAAAAGTTTAAATGATATTGTGTTTAAATATAGTACTATGTAATCTGAGTTCCACCACTTTGGGTAGTGATCTGTTTCTGTTTCCTGGATCTGATGATTTAACTAAGATTTTTCAGCTAAGGTTTAAAACTTTCCGTGGAATCCCAGTAACTCCACATAAATTGTTTTTCATCATTAGGAATGTCAGTACTGCATAATCTAGCGAAGGTTTAGTTTGTGCTGTGTGTAGGCATCCATCAAAACTTCCATGGTAGTAGCACAAGAAGAAATTTAGCTGCCTTTCTTGCAACCCTTTCAAAGTTTGGAAGTGTTGAAGCAGGTCTTCGAGAGTAGGAGGTGCAGTCAGCATGTGCTGGTTTGTTGTGGGGAGTAGCTGTGTTGTCAGTAAGTGTGGATGGTATATTCTGTGAAAAGCAAGTCCTCTTCTCTGTGTTCGTTACTTTTTAGTCCTGCCACAGGCTAATCTCCATTGAAATATAGACACACATGCAGATCTGTCATATCATTTGAATAGCCATTAATAGTTTTTCTAGAATACAATCAGAGTTTGGTGTTAATTAGGTACAGATGAAGGTATGATAATCACTTTGAAAAGAAGCTGAAAATTGAGGTGGCTAAAAATGAGATAATTCTTAAAGTAATTACAGTGTATAGTTTTAACTTAATTTTTTCAGTACTAGCAATTTAGTCTTTAAAGAAGTTTATGATCTTTCTGATTTTCTTAGCACCTTAGTTTATATTACTACAAAGTATATGCAAATAATGTCTCCAGACATAGGGGTTTAGTTACATCTGTCATTATATAAATGAGAAAATGAGTTCCTGGACACATCATCCAGATTACACAGTGCTACCTAAACCAAGCAAAGTAACTTCCCCTATTTTGGCAAGTATTTGTAACTCCATAAGACAGGAAGTTGAATCTTTTTAATTTTGTAAAAGTACAATGCTGTTCAGTGAGATGAGATGTGAAATTAAAGGATAAAAGTTTTTGCTACTCTTATGTTAGTAGCTTATCTATGAGTGAGCTATGACCTGGATGAGCCATAGATCTCCTGAAATGTTTTAAGTTCAAAAGGAGGAAATAAATCTCTAATATAATGACACACCTTCTTTTTTTTCTTTATTTTTAGACTCAGATTCAAAACATTCAAAAGGAACTTTTAAAATAACGGGAAACATCAAAGACTGTCAATTGACCTTGTTCAGTAGTTCTTAATAGTGACTCACTGGTGAACATTTGGAGATAATTTGCTATCTGTGGATATGAAACTGAATCATAAATCCTTGAGTTCAGAGGAGAAGCAGCACAGTATAAATGTAAATGTTTAATCCTTCCTCTGAAGAATCGGAAGACTTCAGATTGGTCAAGATGTGATAAAGTAAAGTAGGAGAGAGTTAGTGCATTGAAAAGTAAAAAGGTTAAATCTATCTCTATTGTATAGGAAAATGTTTTTCTTGAGTATTACTGTAGTTAAGGCATAATTGTAGCATTATTTCTGCTAGCTGCACACATTTGCTAATGTTTTGTGTGTGTATGTGTATTTTTACATTCAACTTAATTTTACCAGTTAATGACTGTGTAAGGATGTTAAATAACAGTGAAAGATACTGTAGAAATATCTACAATTGATATTCAAGCAAGAATTGTCAAACAATTTTTTTCAATTAGGGAGTTGAGTTGAAAAGCAGGCATTTTATTCATCTCCTGACAGAATGTGGTTTTTTTCTCTTTTTATTAGACATGTCCATGCTAGAAGAAACGTATTTGGAACCTAATGCTTTTTAAAGTGTGATTTACTGTATTTCATATGGTGGTTGACATCTACTATGTGAAGGAATCCATTCTTCCTCATCTAAGTATGTCCCTTGTAGCTGCCAGTAGATCCTCTTGTTAAGTGTAATGGAAATCTGCATTTTCCTGTTCCTAGATTGATAGGTGTCAGATTTGTTCCAGCAGTAGCACAGCACTGCTGGATACATACTATAGTTTTCTGTCTTATATGTTCTTTTAAGTTTGTGGGCACATGCGTCTTAAAAGTATGTGTAACACTATTAATAAATTTTACAAAATACAATAAAATACCGAATTCCACTCCCTGACTTTCAGAATTGGTACATAAACAAGCAGATGGGTAAACAATTATGTCATTTGTTCTGCAGAACATAGTTAATTCTTGGATATGCCAGTATTTTTTAGAAGTTACTATTTTTCAGCTGTTGAATATTCCAGTGTATATTCAAAGAAGCAAGACTGTGTGGATCTGACCCTTGGACCTTCCTAATAAATGTATTTAAAAAAAACCAAAACAAAACAAAGCAAAGAAAAAAAACTAAAACAAAACAAAAAAAAAAAACCAAACACAAAACCCCAACCAAAAAAACAACCAAATTGTATGTGTAAGTTGAACAGGAAACTGCATCCTGGACAGTCCTGTTATTGTTAGGGTAACTTCCATGCTGCCCTAAAAATGGTCTTAGGAATTCTGTTCGTGAATGGCAGATGGAACTACTGATCATTTCATATCAATCTACTTAGAATATAAATTATCCATTTTTAGAAATTTATCTTTAAAGTTTTACCATTAGCAAATGCTCCTGTGCCTGAAAACAAATTCCACTGCAGGCAGAAATTTGAATCTGATGACATTGCAAAAATGATTTACATAATAAAGTACAAATATAATTAAAATAGGGCATAAATTCTCAAGTGTACTGGCAGTACAGGGAATGTTATGGCAGCAAATATTCAGCGTTATATCACTTTATTGAGGGTTTATGTGCACTTTTTGTTTTGAAAATGGGTCTAGTAATTATCAGTTCACAGTAAACAAAAGTCTTATTCTACCTCAGTATATGCTTTTGTGTCCTTGCCCTCACAGTATGGTTAAAAGAGCATCAGTGCAGACACACAAGAGCTTTTGTTCCATCTTCAGCCATGTGGAATGCATATGCCAGGGCCCTGAGGTTAAAAAAAAAAAAAAAAAAAAAAAAAAAAAAAAAAGAGAGAGAAAAAGAAAAAAAGTAGAATTGGGGTTTGTTCAGGACTCATGGCATTTGGTCATTTCTGGGAGAAAGGTCTTTGATCTGGGAGCCTGGAAGGAGGAAAGTGGAAATGTTTTAGACACAGTACAGTGCTTGCAAAAGCCACATGAAAACCTTCTTTGTAGCTTTAGCCTTTTCATAGATGGACAGCTTCCTTATTTTACAAAGTTCTTCAGAAGCATGTTTTTAGAGAACTTTTAACAATATTTGTTGACTGATATAAGACATAAAAATTAATGTGGATGGGATACAAAGAGCTTTTTAAAGTGATGATTTATTTAAATTTAAACTTTATGGATAGCGTTTGAAATTGGGAGAAAAAAAAATCTTTTGGGGACTGGAAGATGCTTGGTTGTTTAATGCAAAGAAACTATATCAAAGGAACATTTATAGTTCCAGGCTATTTGGCTTTGGGAATTGAAATTTTCCTACTGAGATATTTTGTCTAACATCCAAAAATTTGCTTTAATTACCTAGGAAATGCAGTCAACTCAGAACTTAGAATCTAAACATAGCATAAGATAAAGACAGAGGGAAGGAAGAGATGAGATGCAGCCTAACTCCCCCCTCAATGCATATGAAAAGAACAGCTTTAGGGCTTTTTTTGACTTGCCTGATTTTCAGCCCATTTGCATACATCTGTGTAGAAATGAGCGAGATGAGCCTCTTTTAAAAATTTTCTTCCATTCTCTAAATTAATAAGTTAAACAGTAGCACATTCAAGCTACCCCAGCAACCCATAGTTTTCTGCTCTTAGTATAACTGGCTTCTGCAACATGAGGCGATATTCTTGAAGCATTAGGTGTGCCATGCACATGCTATCTGCTTTAAACTTTATTGGATGATTCTTTTCCAGTCTTACAATACTTTATGGTGTTATAGTGCCTCAGTATCTCAATACTTTTATTCATTGTAGGATAACAATGTTTTTGTTTCATCTAAAAATATCCCAGAACTTTACTAAACTATTTTCAGCCCTGCAATAGTGAGCCAAAATAAATCATCTTTTTGAGGTGTTAGCTCATAATGATGCACAGCAGCATCTCACAGCAGTGCCCATCAGTCAGCAGAGATATTTGTACTTGCTTCTTGGGGCAGGACAGTTGATGGGTGCAGCAGATAGCTCTGTAAACTAGAATGCTTTGGGACAGGGTCAAAGCAGCATGTGATGGTTGAACGTGTCCCCTGATGTCCAGTGAGTCAGGCTTGAACAAAGGCCAGATTATGGTCCTGAAACCTCCATAGGCTGTTGCATGGCAAGGGTCTGTGTTAAAATGAAAAAAAGCAAAACTCAGGTTTTTCTATGTTAACATTTTTATTTTAGAAAAGGAATCTATTCATTTTTCTGTTGGTATCATCATTTGTTCTTTATATCAAAGATTTGATAATGTGACACCCTGTGAAGCTCCTCCTCAGTGTGAGCTTTTAAGGTTTCTGGTGCTTACAGCTGCCATTCAAGTGGGTGACAGCTGAAGACATTCAGTATATTTTAAGATGGCCAAATGTTTGGGGGGAATATCACTCAAAATACCGTTTGCTTTATCTGCACTAAGTGGTGTCCAGAACTCTTGTGTACAATAAAACTATTTATAATTTTTTAAAAAAGGATTGTATTACTTCTTGTCATAGTAGGGAATTAGGGAATGGTGAGAGATCATTATTCCAATAGAATTTCTGAATAGAAATATCATGGAAATAATTTTAATTTTTATTCTGTTCTTGGCCACCATTGCAAAAGGGACAGAAGCTATGCTAATTTCTCTGGTTATCTTTATCTTTATGCCAACCAAGGTAATTGACAGTTGGTAAAGATGGGAAGTCAGAATCGGTCGATATTAGTGTCATCTTGCAATGTGGCTGATTCAGCCAAATGCCTGTTTATCTTGCTTAGTTTGTATAACACTCATAAAAGTTTAAGAAGTTGGGAGACATACAGATTATTTTTTTAAATTTAGTTTTTCATAGTGCAGTTTGTCTGGATTACATCTATCCCCGCTCAGGCAGAGAGGCTTTCAAGCATTGTTTGCTTGGTTTGTGCGTTGTATTAAATGCATATGTCTTTTCCTAACCCAGTATCTTGAGCAGCATAGGATGAAATGGGCTGCCCAGATGATCCTGCATGTCAGCTTCCCTGCCAGTTTGAAACTTTTTTTATAGTTCACTGTTTGGTTTGTCTTTTTAAATGTCTCACATTAGCATGCTTTTCACTTCTTTTGATAGCAGTTTTACCACTGACTAGATCTTGCTGATAAGCAAAATTCTTGTTTTAAAGAATTCTTCCTAGAAACCTAAATTCTCCCTTTTAATTCTGCTCCATTTTCCCACTTTAATTTTCTAAACAGAATGAAATTACTCCATACCTATATGCTCCTGTCTAAGATACATTAATATATTTCTAGTCTGTAAAGGTATCGCTTAAACATGCTGTACTTGCTTCTTTGACTGCCAGCCATGAATATTTTAACAGAAATAATTCAAGAAGCACACCTTCAGATGTGGCTACAAGCAGATGATCAATACGATTTTTTGTATAATACTCTGCAGTTTAATGCTTGTATATTTTCTTGTGTTCTGTGATTTACCACACAGCACAGACTTGTTTCTGAATGATTACTGGTTGTATTTGGTTGTGGCTAATGTAATCAAACAATTACTTGGGGAAAGAGTGGGAAAGACCACATTCTTCTTTGTCTTTACTGCTTTATCAAAGACAGCGAAGCTGTGATTTCAGTGACATGAGGCCAGATGCTGAATGTATGTTTGACTTTGTGAACTTGAAGTATGAACTGAAAATTTGGAATCAGTTGTCCCTTCGCTTCTTGAAAGTGACTTCAGAGTTTGTCAGTGTTAAAATTCAATTATTTATAATGGGATTTTCGGGGGGGGTGTTTTGGTTTAGTAGTTTTAAATGCTGCTTTCTAAACAGCTTTTCAATTCATCCATAATAAAACCATTGGCTGAAATTTTGCAATTCAGAAATACAAATTTGTTTGCTTACATTGAGTCTGATGAGCTTATTTATAATTAAAGAGAATTGCTTTGCTCATATTGTCACTATGCCATCCATTCTCCCCCTGACTTTTCTTATTTTTTGAATCCAGATTTAGGTCGTTCTCGGGAGCTACAGTATGTTTATGTGGATAACAATATTCATCTGAAAGGCCTCCCATCTTATCTGTATAATAAAGTCATTGGTTGCAGTGGGTAGGTATGAATTAATTCAGATGTTTTACACACCTGTTCCCTGTAAAAATTCTCATAAATATTTTCCTGTATGATACAACTGATTTTTTTTTTTGTGTGATGGATTCAGAACGGATGTTAATTTGAAGGGATTACTGCAGCTCCCAGTTCTGTTTTATTTTTGTAATAAATCTTCTGTGATAATTACTGACTTTCAGTATTTTAGTATTAAGCCATAACAGACAGTGCAGTTATTCTGACGGAATTTATAATGATAACGTAAGGCCTGAAGCTGAATCCTAGTTGCATTTAAAGGTTGTCCAAAAATGTAGGCTTCACAGAATTTCCAGAATTAAAGAATGATGAAAATATTTTTTAATGTGTGGCAGCATCTGTGTAGTTCATAAGTTCTCACATTTCTTGGAATGTCACATGCACATCGTTCACTCATTTTACATGTATCAGCTTTTTGTAGGTCTCGGTACCTACTAACTAAAATAAGTAACTTTTTTTAGGAATTATGGATTGACAGGTATATTTTTACATGTGGATTTTAAAAATATCCTAGGCTGTCTCATGTTTGTGGCTAGGATGTGAGAAAAAGTGGTCTGTCTAGGACACTAGTTTAATTCTTTCTGCACTGACACTAGCATAAATTAGGATCAGCACCACTGATGAATGGAGCCTTACTGGTGTAAAACTGATCAGAAGAGGATTGTCCCCATTACCATCTAATTATAAATTTCTGGTATGCTCACTCTCAGCAAATCTTGCATTAAATATAAATTTCCTCTCTACAGCCTGCACTGTACTGCAGTATGTGAGATGCTGAGTCTTGGCATTTTAAGGTTTTTCTAATATTCCCATGTCAGCTGGTTGTGTGATATTTAAATACTTGCAGTTGGATTATAATTCTGCTGAACAGTGTGCAGTCTTAAGCTTCTACTAATTTTGTTTTTCAGGAAAAACAATTTTTAGGTTTTGTTCCTTCAGAACTGATTGTAAATTCTAAGACAGTCAATAAATTGACCCTAAAGGTAATAAAATGTTGATTGTGACCAAAACCACTAGTAATAGTGCAGGAAATGTTCCAGCGAGTTTGGTCCAACTGTCCTGTCTATTTCAGGTGATTTTAAACAACTGTGTCTCTCTATTTCCTAATGTGTTAAGTCCTTATTTTATACCCAGTCAAAATAATTTTATCTTTGCACTGACCTTTTGGGAAGATATTACCAGTTCTTTTTGCTGTTATGTGCACACTGCTGGTGAGACTAGCTGCTGGTATCTCTCATGGAGATTATTATAAGTTTAGTGTAGAAGAGACCAAAGAAGTTGAAACAGTTGCAATGAAATAAATTGTTGTAACGCTTCTGTGGAATAGAAAACCAAAAATTTTTTTCCTTAATAATAAAGAATTTTTAAAATAGTTTTAATAAGCAAAATAATATTTGTACTTGTGTACCAAACAGATATTTGTTGTAGTTGTGAAACCATCTCAAAACAGCATAGATAATTTTTAAGGAAATGTTTCAACATGGGAAGAGCACTTACATATATTATTAGGAAACCAAAGGTTTTATTTGATAAAGTGCTGAGTGATGTTAAATTTGGGTAATAAAGTCATGTGAAAAATTTCTCTGTTCTTTCCAAGAAAGCATTAGTAACAAATGCAAAGCTTTCATGGGTCAGGCAAGAGTTGAAGATCCAGGCTTTAGTACTCTGTCTGGTCATCCACTGGAGAATAAAATCTGTTGCGCTGCTGCTACTAACATAAAGCTAGATTTCTGAAAATAGAATATAAATTGCATTGTGTAAGTAATGAATCTCTGTCTGGGAATCCTGCAGTCAGACTGACTGAAAAAGTCTTTTATGTAAGAGGTGATGATCTCAACACTCAAAATAAATTTTGATCTTATTTTTTGCAGATTGGATTTCATAGTCTGCAGCTAGGTATCTGTCAGTCTTGCTGAAGACAGCCAATAGGTGGTCACAGCTTTTTTTCCCCAGTTATTTATTCACCAGAGTTCTTCAGCAACTCCATTTTTTCCAGATAGTTAGACCATCCTCTGTTCCACTTTTTAATTTCCATGGATTTTGTGGGATTTTTAAAAATATTTTCGTTCTTGCACCCAGTATTACTTGTAGGCTGAGATTCATTCCCTAATCCATCCTGATTTAAGGGTGTCTATCTCTTAGATTATTCCTCTTGCCTGTTTTGCTTGTCTACTTTGTTTTTCAGTGTTGTAGTCTGGCATTGATAGGCTCACCCTTTGTATAACGTAGACCAAATGGCCCAGCTCTGCACTGCAGAAACTGCAGTGAGTTTATGGGTGTGTCTTCTGGCTAGGTTGCTACGGGGTTCATCAGTTGGAAAATACAACATTATAGATTTATTTGTTGTGATAGCTAACTGATTGGGCATGGATTGCTGAGGAATGGATTGTTGGAATATTGGACCTCTGAATTCCAAATTATATTTTTGAATGGTTTGTAGGAAAGAAATATTTAACAAGAAGCTTATTGACTTGCTGTTTGCTGTTGCTCTTTTTTGCTTGTTTCTTTGGCTGTTTTTCCTTTAATCAGAAGAGATGAGATTCTTTGTTATCAGAGAAGTACTATGGGATTTCTTTTACATCTGATAAAGTCGAGTGTAGTTACCTCAGGTTTAGGTCCAATATCTGGGAAGGCTGACAAATTTGTGTTTCTGTTCCATTTGTTAGGACTGGCCCTAATAAGTTGCTCTTGGCTTCAAATTTAAATTGTCATAAACAATTCCAATTACCCTGTTGACTTCCCCAATCTTAGTAGAATTTTCCTCTGCATGTCTCTTCGGCATGATAGCTTGCATTAGGGTTCATGTAAAGAGTTATTATTTTTACTACAAGCTAAGTTTCTCTCCTTGGATACAAATAACCTTCCCTATGTGATTTGGGAAGGCCAAGACTAGTAGACTTACTAGGGTATCTTCCCACTACAGCTTAGGCTGTTGTTTTTATTTTTCCCTTTCCCCACCCTGCATCATCCAAGGGGACTCTGTGGATGGGGAATGGTATAGTACAGAATCACCCAGTGGCACTTAAATGATATATTTCAGTTGTTTACCTCACATATTACAGTTGAGAAATCCATTACCATTCTCAACTGATTGATCCGAGACAGAGGAAGCCAACTATTAGGTGTGTAAAATATTTAGCAATAATGGCATTCAGAGGCTAGAAGAGATTAACACTTTGGCAGAGTAAGGGATATGTAGTACACTTGCTTCACCTCCTTAGGATTGTGTTCTCATTTTTTGAGCTTTTGAATATTATTTTATATAAATAAAGACCTCTCAATGTCTCATGACTAGGTGGGAATCTATGGAAAATATGTGTCAACACAGAATCATAGAATAGTTTGGGTTGGAAAGGACCTTTAAAGGTTACCTAGTCCAACTCCAACATGTACTGGAGGAATCCTTGAACAGTGCTGCACTGAAGAGCAGTATCGGGCATACTTTGGGTTGGTCATCTGGGTTTTGCATAAAGTTACTATTATTACTTCTTTCTAACCACTTTTTAAATGTCTTGTGTCCCTCTAGTTGTGGTTCTCCAATTCAAGTTTCAGAGGTCAAACTGCTCTCTTTTTCATCGGGCCAGTTAACTGTGTTCCTGCCAGCAGAGGTGAAATCTATAGGGACAGAAACAGATCGTGTGCTGCCTTTGCAAGAACTGGCCATGAGGACCCTCTATAACACTTACTACAGATTTTTAAAAGGTATGAAATATCTGCTTTGTTTCGATTACGGAAAGAGTGGAAGTGTTTTTCTGGTAGTGATTGGAATATTTCAAAGAGCTGGGCAAGGATTAATATTTTAAAAGATTTATTTAATCAAATTATGTTTAAAATGCTGTATTAGAACAAAAACATACAATATCAAAAACCAGAGATCCAAAGGCTATTTCTAAGGTTGAGTGGTGTTTACAAATAGTTTCTTTCTTGAGGACTATATAAAGAAGGATGCTTTTTGCAGGAGAAACTCTTTAATGGAAATAGGAGATGAGAAATACAGTTCCTGAGGCAAGATTAGATGCATCAGCCAACAATGCAGCTTCTTGCCAGGCAGCACACTCCTAAACTGGCAGACTTGTTATACATAAGGCAAAAGAAATGCTAGCAGCCCTTGGCCATTTCAGTACAGCGTGACAGCTGAGCTGGTTTAGTTCTGCCCCAATTCAGGCTCTGCTGTAAAGTGGCCCTTGGCTCATCTGGTTATGCGTCATGCAATCACATGAGTTAGCAATATCTGATGATAACCTGCAGATTCAGATTTTGTCAGATTTAGATATGTTGACTCCCCCCTATTCGTGTTGTCCTGGGAATCTGTCAGCTTTATAGATGAAAGTAGAAAGCACAAGGGTGGAGAGTTACAATGGAAAGATTAGAGAGTTTATGATAAGGGGTCACTTGTACCATGGCCACTGGAATAAATCATAACTGCTGAACTATTGCTTTGCCAGGAAAAGTGTACAAGGAGGTCTGCAGCAAGCATGCTGTAAAGAAAAAGCTTTGTGTTGAGAGGTGAGATAACTTGTGTACGCAGGAAACAGCGCTGCTTTGTGGAGAATGTATTTACTGACATAGAGAACCTATTATTTGACCAGTTCATTTGTGGGGTTGGGTTTGTTTTTTTTTTTATTTCTGCATATGGTGGGGAGAGGGGAGGTCTTCACTTTAGTATCAGACTATCAGCTGTACCAAAATTACACAATGATAAATGCTGTTTCATTTTGGTTTGTAAAATTCTAGTCTTTGAAAAGGTCTTTGAGAACATCAGGTACAAGATCTTTTAAATCATCAGTCACTACTTTTCTCACCCAGTTGTGACTTCCAGACAGTTTCTGGAATATAACTATGTGACTGTGGTTCGTGAAGATGCTGGTGAAGTTTGGTTTGGGAATAGCAAGATAGCATTGCAAAATCAGTTTAAGAAATTATTTGTAGATGGTTTATACAAGGCTGTGAGGATTCCATGTAGTTGCAGCCAAGGTGCAGAACCTGAAAAAGATGGTGAAACTTTTTTTAGCTATCTTGCCTACGTGTTTGCTACACTGTACTATGTAGTCTTTTTATTATATCATAGAATAGTTTGGGTGGGAAGGGACCTTAAAGATAATCTAGTTCAAGCCTCCCTGCCCTGGGCAGGGACACCTTCCACTAGCCCAGGTTGCCCAAAGCCCCGTCCAACCTTCCAGGGAGGGGACAGCCACAGCTTCTCTGGCTTCTCTCACCACCCTCACGGGGAAGAATTTCTTCCTTACATCTAATCTAAATCTACCCTCTTTGATTTTAAAGCCATTACCCTTTCTCCTACCACTAAGCCCCCTGACAAGTCCCTCCCCACCTTTCCTGTAGCCCCTTTTCAGTCCTGGGAGGCCGCTCTAAGGTCTCCCCGGAGCCTTCTCTTCTCCAGCTGAACCCCCCAACTCTCAGCCTGTCCTCACAGAGGGTGCTCCAGCCCCCTGAGCATCTTTGTGGCCTCCTCTGGCCCTGCTCAAGCAGGTCCGTGTCCTGATGTTGGTGCCTCCAGAGATGCACCCAACACTGCAGGGGGGTCTCACGAGAGCAGAGCAGAGCAGAGGGGGAGAATCCCCTCCCTCACCCTGCTGGCCATGCTTTCTGGGCTGCGAGCGCACGTTGCTGGCTTACATATATAGATTTTATATATTAATATATACACAGACACACACACATCTCTTACTCTGAGTGACCTTATTAAAGACTATGCATTACCACTGGTGATACCCACATTTCAGTGAAGCAGGAGTCATGCATAATTCAGACAGGTGGAAGATAATGGTGTGCTGGGGAAGCAGGTGGCACATCTGATTAAAGCAGCAGATTTGATCTATCGCTGCTGAAATGTGCAGTTTCAATGGTGCTGTTAAATACTTGGTGGCTGCTAGGTAAGTATGACAGAAGGAACTGGACTACTTTTTCCTCAATCTTTGCTTGGCTGCAGAATGTGACCTTTTCTTTCTGACGCAAATGTGCTACTTGTCATGCTTGTCATCTCATGTGAGGCCGTTGTGGTACATTGTGTATTGGGTTAAACCTCACAGTGTTTGAAAGCTGAAACTACTGTGATATCACGAAACTGATTTATTAGGTAGTGCATCTTGTCTTGATTACTCAGCACCTAAAGTCTTTCACCTGTCTTGGCTGTCTCTCAGTTTCGAGATGGAGATTAGCATGTTGGTTTTAATTTATAAAACACTATGTTGCTTGAGCCAAGCCTGAGAAAATGATTGCTCTTTCCCATGAAATGACCCTGGAGTCCTTTTTGGTGAAAGTGATGGCATCTTGTAAACTGTGGGGGCACACTTAAGAGATTATGAATGTATTGATCTTTTTAGAGTGGTCTCTTTGGTTGGACCTTTGAGAATTATGCTGGGCTGGATTGTATTTCAAGTAATTCTGAAGATTTCAGATCCCTTTTTGCTGATGGTGGCTTTTGGGCTTTTTAGTGAGCTTAGCTATCCTGCTCGACTGGTTGATGAACTATTTTAGTAAAATACTACTGATATCCCTTCCAGAATTTTGTATTGTTATTAATTGTTAAACGCCTGTCTAGATCGCCTTTGTGTCTAAAAGTGCTTTATTTTATTTATTTTGAACTATATTTTCACCTAGTTATTTGGGCCCAATTAATCTTATACCCCAGTTGCTAAACCTATACATTTAACTTGAACTTTTTGGGTTTACTCATGGAAAACACCATGTGCTTCACCCTAATTGTGGTAATTCATGTTACCTTGCTGTTCTTTTGACAAAGTCTTAATGTGAGACAGCTGGTTTTCTGAATTGTTCGTGGATCATGCTTGTTGTGTTTGACTTTATCACTCAGTTGTTTTGTTACAAGCCTCTTTTGTTTCTTTTCTTTAGATTTGAACTTTCTGACTCCAATTTCACTACCCAAAAGCCTCTTGGAATTACTGCACTGTCCCTTGGGACACTGCCACCGCTGCAGCCAGCCTATGTTTACCATTGTCTATCCAAAGCTCTTTCCCTTGAGGGAGACTCCAATGGCAGGATTGCATCAAGGGTAATTATACAGGAAATTACACTGGAGTTTCATTTAGGAAGAAAAACACCTTATGGAACAAAGCATATTCTTAAGGAATTTTTTTTTTAATTTAGCAGTCTTTCATATCTAAAGCCCCTGTCCTATAATTGCATGTAAAAGCTGACAAATCTTTTATTTACAAGACAACCAGAATACTGCTGTTAGCCTGTTTAACAGGAGCTACCACACTTGCCTGTTCCAGACTGCTGTAAGATAGGAAGGGTTTTGATATAATGGGATTGACTTGTTTGTGGTAGAGTAGCACGTGCATGGCACTTCTGTGCCTTGGGAAGGAAATACTACCTAACACCAATACTTCCCCTGATGATCTCAACCCTGACTTAAAGAGAATGCCGCTGTCAAATAGACGTGCTGTAGGATTAAAGATGGGAAAAAGCTCTAAAGCTAGAGCTTAATAAAAATGTTCTGTGGTAAAATACTCTTGCTTTTCTTTCCATGCTAATTAACTTGAGATATGCTGTGGAAGAGTTCTGCACTGTAACATACATTTTGTAGCAATACATCTTTAAAAATACTTCCATTTTTGTTGTAGCAGTTGTTACTCTGTCTGCAGGATTCACAAATCAAGTAGACAGGCCTACACAGACTTCCTGACTTGCTGGTCAGTACAGTCATACAAGGGACTCAAAACTGGCGTGTGGTTCAGGGAATATTGCCCTCATATAGATAAAGATTTAAAATATCTTTAAGGTGAGCACTGATTGCTTTGCAGTGATTCTTTCCCTAACCCCTATTAGTGTGAGTTGATACTGTAGCCTACCCTGAGCGATAATATCAACGAATCCACCTTCTGCAAAGGAAAAGGCTCATTAGAGAAATTTCAACTGAATCTACTTGGACAAAAGTATGGTACGGTTTGAAACCTAGTAAAGAAGGTTTAAAGAAAAGTCACTTGGAGTTAAACAAGCCAGTGTGATGTTCAGGTTCTTTTTTAGAGAATTATATTAGTTAGAAAGCATATGCCTAAAGGTGGGGAGCAGAAAAGAAAGATGCTTTAAAAAGGAATGTTTCTGAAATTACTTGTTGGTATATATAATGCACAAGAATGGCACTCAGTTCTTGTCCTGCAATAGTTATCTTCCATAAAAATAAGAAAATGCTTCTGTATAGGAAAACCTTGAAGAAAAAAGAGGCTAATTGGTGATTCTGGTTGATGATACTTATTTTCCACAGCTGTGTCACAGATTATTTTGCTGTGAGTTTGTGGAATAAAAGGTACCTGATTTGTAAGCAATTCAATTCTATGAAATGAAAGCAATTTAGGTATGCCAAATCTGGACAGCAGCCAGAGGGCTTCATAAATGTTATTTTGGTAAAGTCATCTTTCTTAGAAAGATTTGATTGTAGAGATTGCCTATTTCAACTTGCCATTCTGTTAGACTTCAATCGTATGTTGAAATTCAGTGGATTTTATGTTGAGTACAATAAATTGCTTCCCCATTACAGTCTTAATATTCAGAGTGGCATGAGATGTTATAATCATGCTATAAAGAATATCTTTCATGCATTGAACAGTGTGATGTTCCGAGAAAGTGATGGAAAACTATTTGATGGTTACTAAATCCTTAAATTTTACAAAATAATCCCAATGAGAGAGTTTGGACTAGAGTGGAGTGCTCTATTTTCTAATTAATTGCTAAGTGTTGTAACTTAGTTAAAGATGATAGACATATCAGTAGACACCTTTAGGAATTATTGAAGTTGTAACTCAACAAAAACATCCTTTGGGGCTCCTTTGGAAGACCACTATATTAACATTCTGAAATGTTTTAATTGAAAATACACATTTCTGCATGGTTTTCACTTGTTTAAAAAATAGCTATCATTCCTTCCCTTAGACAAAAATATACTGTGTTCTGCAAAATGCTTCAGTGAATACAGTCTTTAAGTAGCTGACATTTGATGCAAATCCAGAAAATGAGATCTAAACAGGGTAGGCAGACATCCTTATCTCTGTAGCTTGTGCACTTGACATGGTAAGATTATGTGGAATTGTAGAGGTGTGATAGCTGGTTTAGAAAGACATGAAGGACAGGGTTTCTGTTATAAAGAGCTTACAGTGACCATGAAAACATGCAGGGTAGGGATCCTGAACATTTGAACAGTACTGATTACCACATGCCACATCCATGCCAGTAACTTCTGTCTGGACTTCTGTACCGCAATCGGTATCCCCTTACAGGAAAGGATAGTTAAGTGTTGAACTGGAGCTCTGCATCTGAAACAGCACAGATGATGTGAGCACTGGGTAAAGTGTGATTTCTGGGTTAGTAGAAAACTATCTTCATGTTTTTAAAGCAGATATCTAGGTCCCTGCCAGGGTGGGGGCAGGAGGAGGGTCACAGTGAGGCTAGTGCCACACTTTCATGTTGCCACCCCTGCTGTAGTACCTGGCACAGTGTGACAGCACTACCTGTCAGTTGTCCTTTCTGAAGGTCTGGGCCTGGTTTGATCACTGGGCTGAACCAAAGGACAACACTGGACTTCAGTTATTTCATGCCTACAAGCACTAATTTAAGAAACACATGAGCAAAGCTGAAGTGAAGAATTACCCAGCTATTTTCCTTTCAGCTGTTAAACCTACTGGCTATAACACTCAGCCACACCCTCCACAGAAAGAAAAACCACATGCTGCTGCTGCTTTAAACTGAAGACTAAGAAGCAAGGAAGGTTTTTGAGAACCCCTGCAGTGTTTCCCTGCCTTTGTATCAGGCATTCATATAGAACAAATGAACCTTCTTTTTCTCAAGTGTCGAGATTGGCTAATCCTGTATTTTACAAACCAGCATATTGTCTGTTGTGGAATGGGGCCAGGAGCTTCAATCTTTACTGACAACTGTTAGTTTTGTGGCATACTGCTGCTCCACCCAGTGTCTGCAGACTTTTGACCTACTGAGTTGATAAACATTTAAAACTACTCAGGAGTGCTGCCAGTTTAAAGACGACGTATCCCATTGGTACTGGAATACTGTGTGTGTGCGCGTGTGCCAAAGCAGCAGAAGTGCCCAGTCGGGAATGCTAAGAGGCACTTAAATCCTGCCCTATCAAATTTGGATGAACTGCAGAAACTTTTCGGAAGTGTAAATACCAAGCTTTTAAAAGTATTAACTTCTCTCTCCTCCAAGACAGCATACAAACCAAACAAATTCACAAGCTCTGACTTCAGGATTTCCAGTATATTTCAAATGTGGCTGTCTTCAGGTTGACGCATTGCATCATTTGAGGCAGTTTTCATTCCTCTAACAGGAAAAAAAAAAAAAGGTTCAGTTATGACAAATGAGTTTTCACTTACTGCCCCATCCTCTTCACCCCTATGTCTGAATTCAGATGTATAGATCTAAACCTACAGAAACCTTTGAAAGATCCCAGTGACTTTCCCTTAGAATTTAGCTTTGTTTTCTCCCTCTCCTCTTAATATTTTCCACAACATAGTTATCTCAGTTGTATACTGAGTCTTTGACAGTTAACTGTGGTATTTAAAGCCACGTAGTAAAAGTAGATCTTTTCTTTCTGGTATCATTAGAAGCCACATTGATTTAATTGGAGTAACTAGGATACATCTGGAGACTAAAAGATCCTGTTTCAGTAAAGAAGGCTAGTACTGATGCCTACACTAAGTGGTCTTGCTCCAGCATGTTTGAGGGTGTGTTTTCTTTATTTTCATCACTTGAGTTTTTTATTTTTAAAAACACTTCCCCTTTTTCTTCTTTGAGTTCTTCAGGAAGACAACTTTAAGTATCAAATTCACTTAAAAAAACAAAACAAAACAACAAACAACCCAGTAATGTGATAGTAAATCTTTATTATATTTTTACAATTGCTGATTTGTAGATCTGCAAAGAGTTGGTCTTCATCTAGATTCAGCATTTGGCTGATTTGTGAGTGTGTCAGTGGAGTGTGTGCCTCGGAGAAGGCTGGCAATCCAGGGGGAGGTATGTGTATCTCCATGTCTAGGTATACATGCATGCACAGATATCTTCACAGAAGGGGTGTAACATTTGTTTTTGTATATTAATGGCAGATTTAGTGTAAATTTCCCCTCTATCATATTTATGGGAATCCTTTTTAGTTAGATCTTGTTCATTTTCAATAAAGGACAAAGGATGGAAAAAAGGCCCCAAATGCCTGAATGACTTAAAATTAAAATTTTAAACTGAAACAGTTTATACAAAATTAGCCCCTCTTGACTTGTTTTGGAATATATAATTTCTTTTAATATAATGTGGTTGGGTTGGTTTTTTTTTTTACTTTCTAATTCTTAGGTATAAACTACTTGTTGATTCAGCACAGTGTGCTTCTCTGTGCAGTAGGTAGTTACAAGCTGAAATAGACATGAATGAAACAGTTTGTTATAAAACCTGTAAGATAAAGAGACTTATTTGGTAGTATATTAGCATATGTTGTGGTGAGGTGTGCATACTTTGAAGGGAGGAGGCATTAAAATGTTTTCCTTTTGCCAAAGAAGCATTTGTTCCCGCTGCAGGCTTCCTGGCATTTCTTCAATAAATGGAGTATCTTAAGAGCTTAGAAGAGTACCAAAAAGGCAGTTTTGAGGGTGGAATTTTTAGGTTGTGCATGTTACTTGTAAAAGCTTTGCTGGTTTTATTGGGTTGGTTTTAAGAGAGTTGAATTAGCATTAAGAAATGTAGAACTTAATCCTTCAGGAATGCAAGTATCATCTACTGTTTAAGAATTGTGAAACTTTCTAAAATAAATCCCATTTATTAAATCTGCTTTGCAGTAGGGGAAAGAGCCATGTCCAAGCAGCCTTTGTACTATTGGATTTCTGGCTCTGTCATTTCACTAATTTGTTTCAATGTTAGTATCCCCAACAGGCCTTCCACCCAGCGGGGTTTACTGCTGAAGCAGCAAAAGGAATCTTCAGCTTTTTTCCTTCAGTACTATACAGTGGAGATGTAAATTGCCCATGTTCAGTTATATCTAGATCAGAAATGTGCCTGTGTAGTACAGAATCCATTTCTTTAAATGGCTGTTAAGAAAACTGTGGTAGTGTGTTAGAAATATTATTTTTGATAAAATACTACAATCAGGAATTTTCAGTATTATTTTTACTGTGGCTTCCTCTGTCTTTGAAGGTGTTCTGTTGGAAGTTTATTTGTTCTCCTTTTATAGCAACTTACAGACTTTAAAACACAGTTTATTTCTGAATTCACTCTGTAAATATATTTTAGAGTTTAAATGTCTTGATGAGATGAAAGACATTGGTGTTTATTTTATTAGGAATCAGATAGTAGGAGTAGAGTCTGGGGTTTTTTTAATTATTTATTTTTTATTCTTCCCATAATCTAATTATTTTTTTATTGAGTTCATATCAGTCTTTTATTATTGTCTACAAGTACAGTTCAGAAGAAATTCTAGTTTGTTCTATAAGCAGGATGAATCTTAACATTTTAATAGATGGTATTTCAAGAATGGAATGTTCAATGAATCGATGACTTAAACACACAGTTGAAGCTAAAATGTCATACCCTATTTTTGTAAAACAAAGAGTAGGAAAGCCAATATATAGACTGAAAATGCGGCTTAAATTCATGTTTCGTTGATTTTAAAACTTTTTTTATATGAACAGTGTTTGTATTCATCTGTATCTTTGGGTGATACTGTTCTAGATTAAAATAACTCCATTCTCACTTGTCCAAATTTTTCTAAAGTTGTTCTACTGTAAGAGTATTTCATAACTAGCTAACGAGAGCCAGCTATGCAAGTTGCAGAGGGGAGAGGGAGCTTGTTGCTGATGCAACTGTGCATCGCTTCTTTTTCAATATGAGGTGTCACAGTACTTGCACTTCTCTTTAATGCGTTTATGTCTAGGTAATGTTTGATTGCTTGCTCTTGTTCATCAGGTTAATTCACACTGAGATAAATTTTTCCTTGTACTGCAAAAAATCTCGTTCTAGCAGTTGAAAAAAATTACTATTTTTAAAGGGGGTTTTGTTATAAAAGTAGGACTTAACTCTGCTTATGGTGGGAGCAGGAGAAGTTTCTGGTGGGTTTTTTTTTCTAAGCATTATAAAGAGAAAGTTGCGGGAGAGGAGTGAAAGAAAATTAAGTCTTCAACAAATTGATACTGCTATAGAACTTTACTGAGTAAAGATTAACTCCTAATGTGACGATGGACCACAAGCATAATTTTTGTTGTGGTAACAGGCACCATGTTAATAAAATTGGGACCCTGCTGGTTATAGAGATAACATTTTGTTGCGCCACAACATAGGAATCTGTCTTTGTTTAAAAATACTACTTGTGCAGTTTTACTGTGGACACTATTACATTTGGAGCACTGTTCTTGGGAATCTTCCTGTTACTCCCCCAGAGGATCAGAAATACAAATGTCCTTTCCTGTGTGAAGAACAAGGTCTAATATCAAGAAGTGTGTATTTTTCTGTTTTGGCCTGATGCTTCTCTTGGGCTCTTATTGAAGTTCATTACAAACCTTCTATTTAGTTCATTGCGGTGAGGTTAAGATCTTATACTGAGGAGAGTGGAGCTGTTTATTGCCAAGTTGGCTTCAATTCTTATATATCGAATTCTGCTGAATCCCTTTTTCTGACATGAAGGGAGGATGAGACTGTTCTAACACCCGTGTGGTGACAGCGTGTCAGGTTTTACTGACATCACAGCCAAGCTGAAGACTGGAGAGTGACAAACCTTTCACTAGAGAGGATGACTTTTTTTTGAAGGCCACTCTGACCCTGTCAGAGTGCCACTGATAACTGAAGAACTTTTTACCTTGATGACAGTGGAGGATGGATCAAGTTTTAATTGATGAGAGAGAAGATTGTGTTTTACCATCTTTGTGCAAAAACTGGGACAATGACACTGAAGTCCATGCCTGCTGCTAGACAGCCTATCTGCAGCTGAACTTACATAATTCCAAGATGTAACTATCTTTGCCTCTTACCTCCCTCTTAATACTACTCACGTTGTTGCAGAATGTTGTAGTTAACTTGTGATGGAAGAGACTGAGTAAATTGAATCCAGAATTTTTATTACTTTTTGTATTACAGACCTATTTTGTAAGAGACCAAAGGTCTGGTGGAAAGAAACGGCAAGATTCATGTGAAGTCTTCATTGCTTTTGCTTTTATGTGCCCTTCTTTGGATTATAACTTGAACTTGGATTGCAGCTGAGTTCATTCTATGTCTGTTGAAAGCATATGTGTATTGGTTTTTTGCTCTGTATTAATCAAATGTCACTTAGTGTGAAGGTGAGCTTGCTAGATGTTTTATTTAAAGTTAGCAGTGCAATTTATTGTATGTGCTTGTTAATAAACTATATTTTTGGATAAAATTACAGTCCATTAAAGTTAACTTTTTTGCTCCTGGGCCTATTAAGGTATGTTTAGGATGTAGCATTTAATTTACATTTCAGTTCATTTTCATAGTAATTAGCTAATAAGTCTCTTGTCCCAAGGCTGCAGAGATGGGGTGAAGATGCCTCTTAAACCACTACCAAGCCCAAAACACCAATTCACTTAATCCCTTTGTCTCAGAAGATGTAGTAGTTCACCTGATCTTGCATAACAGAAACAAAATCCATATGGAAACATTACTTTAGACCATTCTATGGATTGATCAAAAGAAAAATTTCAGTAGGGCTGTATTAAGTACCACCCTGCTGGTCCATAGATGTGGCTGCGGTTCATGTATTATTTACTCAGCAGCATTCAGCAGCTCTTTTCCCCTCATCTAACAGATATCACAGGAACAAGGTTGCCAAAAATAAGTAGAAATTAAGCATCTGTTTTTCCAACTATTTCACTCCTTGCTGTGCAGCGTTTTGCTTCAGTCAGAGCTGCTGCTCTGTATCTGAGTTCTTGGAGTTGGATGCTGTCTGAATTACTGTGTGTGTATTGGGTGAATACTAGCATATCCATTCTTAATTGAGACCTAGGTTGGTCAAGGTGACTCTCAATGTCAGTTATAACAGATGCCTGGAAGGGTTTAGATACCATTCAGCTTGTTTGCTACTAAGTTTACAATGACTTGCCCTTTCAGTATTTTACAAAAGACAACATAAATTTTCCTACCCTTGCAATGTAGGTAACCTCTGTTTGTGAGGCAGCAGGGGGAGGATGCAAGGCCCTTAAGTGAGAAGGGGCAGAGAACAACCCTTAACCTATAACTTTTACCAACCACGGCTGTCTCCCTTATGAATTAGAAAGAAAGAAATGGGAGAGCTTAACATCCTTTTCCTTTGCAATTAAAAGTACTTGGCATAAATGCAAGCTAAGTGGAAACTTCAGTGGCTGAATAATGCTATTGTATGCAGGAAATGAGAGGAGCTGAGATCTCACTTGGAAAGGCACTGGATGTTTTGTGACTTCCAAGCCAAGATTTAGGGCTGTTCTGTGTCGTGACATTTTAGCAACATGAGAGCCAAATTGAAGCACTGCACCTGTGCCCCCCAACTTCAGTGATCACTGAATATTGCAGTAGAGCCCTCTCTATTCTGCACTGAAGAATCCTACCAGTATTCCATGTAGCTGGCTCAGGAGACTGGGAGTGGCCATTTATAACTATTAGATTTCTGTCTGCTACTTCAGCAAGAAAGAGAGCAAGAGTTGACCGAATGCTTTCTTTATCTTTTGACATTTTAAAAAGTGAAACCCTCACAGGATGCTTTTTCAGCACCCATTATGCCCTTCAGACATCTCTCCCTCCCAGGCAAAAGACCTTGACGCATCTGTGAGATCTTCAGTCTCAAGAATCAAAGCAGTTCTCTTGTTGGAGGTGCTGAAGTGATTTGACTTTTTGATGATGCCTTCCAAGTGGCAATCAAGGGCTAATTTCTCAAGTATCCTGATGCTCTTTTGTATGTTCATGAGGAATGTAAATATTGACTGGCTCTTCTGTCACAGAAAGCTGTCAGTCGTGGATGGCTGTTCTGTTGCTAAATATGACTGCAGCCGCAGTACGAGGACCGACAGCATGAGGACCAGTGCATTAAACGTGTTCTGCTGTCATTTTCTGTGAACTTCATGAAGTTATGAGGTTTAATTTTTGTTTTTCTTCAGATCAATCGAGAAAGCTTTCTTGTAATGTAAAATGCAATACTGCATTTGTTTATTGATTGGTGCTATGAATGTTCTAAGTGCACTTTTATAACAGTGAATCAAGCTATTTAGTAAAAAGCAAAGAATGCATTGTTATATTCCAGTTTCATGCAGGTAAGGTCTACTGGAAGACTAATGTTTTGTTTAAGAATGAAAAACAGCTAAGGTACATAATCCATGATAAAATGAAGATATGGTCAAAAGATACTGATGACATTGCCTAGCTCTCATGAAAAAATACGTTTTAAAAGGTAACCAATGTTCCTTTTAGGGGTAAGTATTAACTATGGTGGTATCAAATATGCCCTGTTCTGCTTTTGTTGATCAATTTTCTGGCTCCTTGTAGCTATTACATCAATTTTATTATGTTTCTCTTATACTTTAGAGTTCTAACCATTGATTTTTACAGTTAAAGCAATTAGAAGAATCAAGCTGAATATTCTTGGGTCAGTTTGTGATAACTGTGATTGCTTCGCTGGCACTGAAGTTTTGAAACAGTCTGAGCATGGACTTAAATTTGGCTGCCTTTGCTTCTGCCCTGTCTCTTTTGGCTCTCTAATTTCATTTTGCGAAAAGCCAAATCAATGTAGATGATACATGAAGAGAAGAACTACCAAGAAAAACAGCTTTAACTTGATTCAGAAAGCCTATCTTGGAATAGGGCTGGCAAGGTCTCCTATATGAATTCTAGGTAAGTGCTCATTTTAAAGAAAGATGAAAAACAGTGAGTTTTGCAGGCAATGGAGTGCCCCATGTCTAAAAATACCAGGATTAATTATTCTCTATATTCACACCTTACTGTTCTGTATCTCTGTTTCTATAAAAACCAAGTAACTGCCACAACAGGGAGTTAGTTTGTACCTTATATCTTTGTAGAATTAAGATTGATTTTATACTAATACACTCATTACTCTCACAGTGTAATGCCTCATTTCTTTCTCTTCCTCTACAGTTGCAAATAAAAGCCCTTCTTTCTTTTCTTAGCCCTCACTCCATTCTCTGGTCAGCACACAAACTCTTGCTGTGGTCCCATTTTCACTAAGATTAAAGCAGTGCACAGTGACATAGGTTGGTTGCTCATCAGGCAAAAGCAACTAATCACATTTCTGTAAAATTATCTATATCACAAATATGTATTCTGTTCTGGCTGTAGATGGAGGATATTTAAATTAATGCATTCATTTATAATAAATCAGTACTTTGTATCAGATTTTTAGATCTAGCAGTATCTAATCATGGCTCTAAAGCTTCCATTATGAAACATGGAGGCTAGAATTTCTCCAATAGCTCTATTTAAACTGTAGCCAGACTTATGTCTGATTCCTATAAGGATACTTGGGAGGTTTGAATTGAAAACCTCTAAGGAATTATCTCATTTTTCTCTCTTCCCTCAAGGAAGCTCAAATGGTGCAGGAATTGATACCTACTAGTTAAGAATTTCTTTCCAGGTCAGGGCTGAGCCAGTTCCCCTCCCTGCCATGTCGGGTGACACGCTGTTTGATGTCCCTGCCCAGCTCACTGCTCTCTGGCCCCAAGCTGCAAAGATGAAAAATACTGATTCCAGTCCATCTCATTGAAGTATTATCATGAGGTGTTCACAGACATGCTGGGACTAGTCTTTTACTTACAGGAACATTTATCCAGGGGGATCTAGTGTGTTATGTGGCAAGAAGCTGCAAGAGGGAGAATGAATTTACTGTTTTCATTTACAGTCAGTAGCTGAGACCTTACTGTGGCTTTAGCTATTCTTGATTAATTTCATATGTGGATGCTCCTATTCCAGAATAAAAGTGCCTCGTAATGAAAGAATTTAATTCCTTTAATTTCATTTGGGAATAACTACATCCACACACCTGGTATTTAAATCTGAGATAACTGTTTCTTTATGAATTTACATCCTGCTCTGTTCTGGATCAGATCTCATGTAAATTCTTGTATTCATTTAACGGGACCTGATTTATTGTTTAAAAGTCTTTTTTTGGGGGAAGTACCTGGTTGGAAAATAAAGATTCTGCTTGCAAGGATAAGATTGGGGGGGGAATATCAAAATTCTGAAGACAATTGGTTTGGAAGCACTGCATTGGAAAACATTGTTACATGTCAGATCTTATTCTGCTGATTTATGCTGAAACATCTGTCTTTTGACACTTAAAAAAAATTTATTTTGATATAATATTTCAAATTGAGAAATACAGTTTTGAAACATGGCTTGGAATATTTTAAGTTTTCTGCCATGAAAATGTCTTCTGTGTCTCTACCATCACATTTTCTGATGAAAACACAACTGGCAGGAGTGATTTGAACTGACTTTGCCCAGGTGTCAAGGCAAGAAGCTGCACTTAGAAGTCACTCTCTTAGGCAGCCCTCCTTGCTGGAGGTGGTTTGAGTTCCCTAGACTCGAGCTGAGGCTGCCGTGGGGTCTCAGCAACCCCTGTTAGCTGTGTGTCCTTTGGGAGGTTGGTAAGGAAGGAGCTGATGAGGGGAAGTTTTCCTCTCTGACCTGTTGTCTTCTGCTGTGGCTCTGAAAAGCAGCGTGTCCTCAGGCCTGAGTAGCATGGTGGTGACTCGGTAACATGTTCCCCCTTGTTGCCTGTTTCCCAGTGTGACTTGCTGCTCTGGTGCAATGCTTGATTTTAAAGCTTACTGCTTTTCAGCTGCGGGGAGCTGGTTCAGCTGCCAGAGGGGTGTTGCTGTCAAAGGAAGGATGTGCACTTCCACAGTGCAGCATGGGCACGGTGAATGCATAAGCACAGAGAGAGCTTTCCTGAATATTACTAAGCTCTTTAAGATTTAATACTCTCTTGAAGTTCAAACCAGTGTAAAGGAAGGCCTAAGCAGCTTAATGGGTTAAAATGATCCATGACTGTGTCCTTCAGACAGTTTAAAGATCCTGCAGCAACCCAAGCGGGCCACCTGTTCCTCTCCCAGACAAACAGGTCACCCTCCTGACCTTTATTCTGCCACCCTTCAGTTTGGCCTGGCCCGGCTCCATGTGTGGAGTGATTGTTTTTAAGTTTGTCATTGTTTAAAATGCCACTTGCCAGAGTTTAATGTGCACAGCTGCAACCTGAGCCGTCGCCGTGTGTTAATAAGACTAAAACCGTTGGACTGACACCAAAAGATCTGCTTGCACTTGGCATGTCATAAATTAACATCATTCTTACCTGCCAGGGATGATTCACTGCTGGCTCAAAGCATATTTAAACTTTAGAGGATGCCAACAAACTGGGCGGTGGTTTGACCTGCCACGTGGCCCGAGACTGCTGCTTTTCTCTCTGCCTCCGCCTTCTCTCTGTTGCAGTGTGTC